AAAAATTAAAATAATTAATTATAAAGTAGAGATTAAAATTAATTTTAAAACATACTTTTATACAAAATATTATCTCTTGTCAATGATTTAATGTATTTAATCGAAATATATGCAGCAATAATCATGTTGCAGACAGAGTGAGAAATAAGTAAACAACAATTCAAATCGGTGTGCATGCTCGCCTGTGCGGCACATAAATTCTCGTGCGCGGCAACAATTTGAGCAGTGCACAGCCGCACAGCTTAGAGGGAACATTGCCTGTAATACAATCAGTTTAAGCTGTTTAAGTTTAAAGATCAATATTAAGCAATTATAATAAAAAAGTATAATATATTATTGTACCTAAACATAAATGTCTGAAACAAGTAATGGATTCCAGCATACATCAAATATAATTTCCACAGGCTACTTATTTATAGCCTTTCAGAAAATTTCTCATACTTGATAACTTTGGTTAAGCCTGGTGATATGATTAGCCAACCTTTGGGCTTTACCAAGCAAGAATCATACCTGCCAGTAACAGGATTAATTAATAATAATTGTTTAATTAATAAATGCAAGTTTTTATAATACTGTAATTTGATTTTTAAGAATTTATTTAAATTTATTGATTTATTACTTACAAATTCTAAACAAAAATATTTGTTTTTCAGCACTTAAAGTGTACAGGATATCACTTGCCAGAATTAGCTTCCATATATGGACTAGCCACGAATGTCATCAAGAAGTATAATTTTTAGATACGTAAGTCAAGATAGAATTTATAAGAGAATAAATATTAAAATCTAGCTTCTATATTCATCTGTATTTAAAAGTTTTGTTGCTCTAATTTATATTTGAAATTCATGTATAAATGTGTAACGTGCTGGATGTTTTACTATGTATATGAGTATTGTACAGATGTACAAGTGATATCATTTTTTAATATTACCTTGTATATATGTATTAAGACATTAGTAAAGTTATTTTTACTAATTTTGAATGTGGTTAAGAAATGACTCCAATCTGAAGGAGTTGTATTACTCTCGTTAGAATTCAATTCAAGTCATTAAAATGTATGGAAATAAAATGATGTGTTCATTTAAATTTTATGTTTATTATCAGTTATTTTTAAGATTTGTTCAAAGTTTTGAAAGGATGCATTCTTTTTCTAAAAAATGTTAGATAGGTTTTTTTCTTTGGTTTGTTTTGTTTTTGATTATGTATTTCTTATTTAAATATAAGAAACTTTTTTGTAGATAATGTATAGAAGAAATGTATTTAACAATCATTATACATATATTTTAATAATGAGAAATTATGTTGTTAAAATTTAAGTTATAAAATTATGCATTTTAAGTTTCTTACCGACTCTAAAAGTATGTCATTTGTGATTATATGTTATACATTTAGTGATAGATAGACTTCATTTTGCTACGTTTTTGAAAATTAATAAAAGTAATATGTATATTATAATAAAAGAATAAAAGCCATTATCTCATTAACTGTAGAAAATGTTTGTGCTTCTTTTTATAAATAAATAAATAATTCAATTTGTCAAACATTTACTATACAGTATATTATAATTAATCTTGTACAGATTTAAATAACAAATATTACATATTGATCTTCTGGTGCCACTAATATAAAAAATTAGGTTATTTAATATTAAGGATTTGCGCTTTCAATTCCAGAATAATTAATCTGTGACAATAGCTTTGAGTCATTCAAAGCTGTTATATGATTTATTCTCGTTTGAGTTACCATGAAATAATTGATTATGACATGCTTCAGTCTTGAAAATGCATATACTGGGTGATCATAATTAAAGTATCTGTTCAACCTGTTGTCTAGAGGAATATTTAGCAGTCCAGAAGCAGCCAAATTTGGTATGGTGATTTTTTCTGTAAAAAAAAAAGTATGAAAAGTTGCTACTCTGGTACCTTTTGCACTGCAGGCGACAAACATTTGTGCAACATATCCATGCTGTACAGAGAACTTAGCAGTGTAGGAAATACTGCTCAATGTGGTCTCCATTCTGAAGATGTAAAACTGGTAATTTAGTATTTTCAATTGATTGATCTTGTATGATGTTTCTATGAGTTACCAAATTGCAACTTGTACTTGATAAAGCAGTTTTTAAGTATTTCCACAAATAAAATTGCCTTTTTTAGTTACTTGCAGCACTAAAAGTGCCATAATGGTATGTTTCAGTACTGATTATGTTATGAAATTGTCTTCATGTCCTGAAATGTTACCATACCAGATTTGGTTGCACTTTGACTACTAAATATCTCTCTAGACAGCCAATGCTGTCTACAGAGATATTTAGTAGTACAAGTACTTCAGTTAGAATCACCTGATATATTAAACTTAAATTTTATTATATATTTATTATTGAAAAAAATTTATTAAAAGTTAAATATTTTTAATTACATTTATTAAATGTATATAAAATATACTAAATAATAAAGTAACTTAGACATTATTATATAAGGTGGTGATGATTAGATAAAGATACTAAGACAATTATGTAGAAGTTAAGACTGTTTACAGTTTGATGTTTATTTCTGTACTTAATAGATTATTAGAGATATTTAATACATATATTATTTATATAATTCTATTAAATAGCAGAAAACAGTATTATTTCATCAATGACATTCATTTTACAGAGGTGCTATGACCAGAAACAGTACTAGGTGGGTTTTTAGAAAATTTAAATTTTGGTGTTTTAGGCAAAGCTGTGAGATTATATTATTTTCTCTTAAGGCATTACCAGAATAGAACCTAACCTGAACTCTTTATCATGAACTCTGGGGGAAAAATATTGTCTAAAGGGAATAATTGGTAAAGCTGTAAATGAAGAGTTGAGTGAAAGAGAAACATTCATTTTGTCTTATGTTGATAAGAAAGTAATTTTATTTTGATTTAAGAGCAGCAGTCATGCTTTTTAAATGTATAAAAAGTAAGTAAATGTGGAAGAAAACTTTTCTGAAGAACACTTCCTAATGCTAATTTTGATAATATTTTAAACCCAAAAGATGATGATCAAAAATGATTCTAAAAGATACAATTAATTTATTCTTTGTTAAACATCTCAGATGAGTAAAATTAAATCTTAAGATGTCTGTTACTAATAATAAAATTGATGGAATTTTCCTCACAATTAAAAGGAATAGCGCATAGGGTGGAGAGAGCTGAGATGATGATAGACACTAAATTTAAAAAGTCAAGCTTTGGAATTTGTTTTAAATAATAAAATTAATCAAATATGAATAAGTTAATAACATGGAACTTTTCATTGGCATATAGTTCCAAAATTAAAGAACTTTTTAATTTATTGAAAATGAATTAAAAATGGATTTTATATCTAATAATCAATTTTTTTTATCAGGAATATTGGGCTTAATTCAATAATTATTAAGATAACTTTTGAAAGTGTTATTTTGAGTTTGAATTCAAAGAATGTGGCTAAGAATCAATGAAATTTTCATTAGACATTTGACTACATTATCTCGGCAATTTAGACAAAAATTGCTGTTACATAAAGCTGCTGGAGATAAGAGAATACAGTAACAGTGTGTTGTATGCTGATTATGTAATATCTGAAAATAAATATACATTTTCTTTCAGTGTGAATAAAGTTTTGTGTGCAGTCTGTTTTTTTAGAGGATGATCAGATTCCCTGGAAGACTTAAAGGAAATTCTAAAAATCTTACTGTGAAATTCCAATAGAAGTTGGAATTGTCACAGTTTCAAATCTAAATTGTATGATAATTCTTTTATTGCATTAGTAAATAGCTCTGAAATTGGTCTTATTGAAATATGGCTAGATAAAGGTGACAGAGTACTAAGTAATAAAATAAAGGGAGAAAATAATGTAGTGATAGGAGATTCTCCAAAAAAAATTGGATGTAGGGTGACATAAAGAAGGCATTGTATTATTTGTTAAAAAGCTATGGAAGCTATACTTTATTCTTATTCTAGTTCAAATTTAGTATTTGTGCTGTTGGAGGTTATCCTAGAGTACCATACCAAGTGATGCTCTAGGATAACCTCCAATAGTTGCCATTCTATTGATATACTTGCCAAATAATAAGACAATGGATGTAACATTTAAAGAAATGGAATCTTAAGCAGGAATGGTCAACATAAAAGAGATCTGGATAATTTTGGGAGATTTAAATTCAAGAATAGCTGAAGAAACAAACTCCTTTTATCAAAGTATAATAATAATAAATATTCATAATAATAAACTGAGTAAAGATAAATAGAAATGGATGCAGTTTGTTAAACTTTGCATTGAATAACAAATTAATTATAAAAAAGGTAAAATATTAAGTGATATACTTTCTGAATATACAATATATGTGAGATTCTGGTGGATCTACAATCAATTTTATATTATGTTCAATGAACATTGTGTGTAGCTGTCAAAGCCTTAGTTTTACATTATGATGCTTTGACCATTTCTTATGTCATCAATTAAACAGCAAAACAAGATTGATAATAAATCTGAGTTAATAATGTTAAATAAAACTAAATATCAAATGATACCAAAAATTAAGTTTGATAAAGATAGCAGATTGAAACATTCATTCAAAATTGTTTAAAACCTATAAATTTTTCAAATGAATACTGTAATTTCAAAATATTTGATGAGAAAATGATGGAATCTATGTAGTCATTTTGTAGTATAGTTCCAAGGAGAGCTGCTCAGTAGCTCTCCTTGGGAATATACTACAAAATGACTTTATATCTTTCTATGTGACTACATGACACCATATAAAATGGCCTAAAATGGTGTAAACTCTGGCTTGATAGAAAATCTTTCTTTTGTAAACCTTACAAATTTGAGAATTTCAATATGGCACTTCTAGCATCCAAAGGTTTTTGAGGATGACTACTTTATTTGTTTAATTTATTGTTACAAATGCATTTCAGAACAATGTATATTTTTATTCCCTGTTTGGTGCCAATTAATTTAAAATATTTTTGACAATTTTTTAAATTCAAATATACAGATCGCATAATTTAAAAACTTGTTAAACGACCACTCCTGTATCCATATTAAATGTTACTCTGATATTTTACAGTTCTTCTTCTTCTTTAATGCTGCCGAATGGCGTTTGCGACTTCATTTTGATATTGTTCTCTGTCTAGCACTGTGTGTAGAACTTGTGCTGTTGTCATGTGAAACCAGGTGTTGATGTTATCTAGCCAGGCCGTTTTTGGTCTACCTGGACGTTTCTTGCCTTCAATCCTGCCCTCCAGGATGAGTGGCAGTAGATGGTATTTTTGGTAGTTCCTAGCAATGTGGCCTAGGTATTTGCATTTCCTGCTGATGATGGTTTTGATCAGGTCCCGGTCCGTGTGCATGTACTGCAAGACCTGTGCATTGGTTATCTTTTCCGTCCACGGAATTTTCAGCATTCTTCGGTAGAGCCACATTTCGAAGGCCTGGAGCTTTTTTGTAGTGGCTGCTGTTAGAGTCCAAGTTTCTACACCATAGAGTAGAATTGGCCAGATGTAGCATTTCAATGTGCGTAATTTGAGCATGATATTCAAGCTTCTGTCGGTAAGGAGTGTTTTCCATTTGGTAAATGCCTGCCTGGCTTGTTCGATTCTGCTCTTGATTTCGGTCTCGTGATTCAGCTGGTCATCAATTAGTACTCCAAGATACTTGAAGCGGTGTACCTGCTCCAACTTTTCGTTATTTAATTTGATCGTGATTTCGCTAGGAGTCCTGCTGACCTTC